TTGAAATGTTTGTTAAATCTATGTTATGTTATTTTTATTAACAATAAACATTCTTCCTATCTATCTATACTGGTTCATTTTATTCAAATTAACCTTGAATGGAAATTTTATGAAATGCTTTTTATATCTATTTATATTTCAAGCAATTTATAATTTAGTACACCATAAGTGGCAATAAAGCTTACAATTAATTAATTAAATTAATCTTTATTATTTACTCACCAAATTACTGTCTTAATCAGGGTAATTTATTTGTATATTTGGCCTCAATGATTAGGGTTGCTTAATTTTGGCTCAATATTATTTATGTAAATATCTTCGGCTTATTGCAAAATAACCAAGTGAATTTTTGATGGAGCTACTTTAATTTAAACTTTTAAGGACATTTTTATGAATTTAGTCCTTATTTATTGATAAAAAAAAAGAAAAGAAAAAGATCGCAATAAAATGACAAAAACCCTCTTTTATACCAAACATAGTAAAAATTGGCGCACAATTTTATGATTTTATGAAGGGAAAATTTATCCAAATTCTCAGTGTGTAATGAAATGTCACTAAAGAACTTTTTGTAACAAATCGACGATATACATTTGATTTTGTTAATGTGAAATAATATTTGTAACAATATGTGAAATTAAAAAAGTAAAATGAGACTTTTTTTTTTACTTTCAAGTTCTTTCTCATATTTTGAGTCTTCAATTGGGTTTATGTAATGTATTAAATTATTTTACTTAAATTTTCTTATAATATTGTGTTTTTTTTTCTCTTTTGGTAATTTATTCTACATTTGTTTTAAGGGACATATTTAAATTTATTATTTTAGATTATAATTTAAACTCTTAGTGTTATTTTCATTTTTATTAAAAATTTTAAAAAAGTGGAGAGAATTTATGTAAAATCTAACATTTTTATTTACAAAGAGAATAATCCAAAAATCCAAGATTAAATATTTTATTTTATTATAATAAGCTCCTTAATATTTTGGCTTCATTTTTATTGCTTTAGTTCAGATTACTGGAATACAATTCCATAAAATATGGATTTATCTACAGATTTATTTACCAATCTACAGACCATGTAGATCTTTTGCCGCATTAACAAGCCTGTTCCATCATTGCATGTCTTGGGCTATTTCTTTCCTTTTATCTGCATCTAGCTCATTTGCATCTTTGTTGATTCTGTCTATCCATCCGCTTTTTGGCCTTCCACGCGGTATTTTGCCATCTATTGAAGCATATATTGTTATATAATAGATATAAAATATAAAATACAAAGTTTATCTAATAATCATGGAGATGTTGAATTGACTACCTACAAGCAATACAATTTCCAAAGAGCGGTATTATCTTTTACATTCTCTGTACTGACCACACCAGCTCAGCGACAAGTTGTAAGTTATTTACCGCGCGGCCGGTTTTAAAATTTGCATGGAGTTGAGTGTGTGTATGTGTGAGTGGGTGAGCCAAGAGCAATCCCTTCGAACTTAATAGAAACCGTCGCATAAGTCACGGATCCTTGTATTGACCGCTGAATTATAGATGGGAGGATAAATGTTGAGGAACGGCCAACGGTGCTTGTTGATTGCAAAGGTGTAATACCTGTCGGCGAGTATAAATAATAATAATATCTGCCAGGTGGGATGATGACCTCATTCTTACTTTTAATTTACGTAAAAAGTAAAATTGTATTTGTATTTGCAGATGATTGTGTAGGTTCAACAAACTTTCTTATTTCTATGATATTTATGAATTTATTTTATTTTTTTCCAGTGTAGAATTTACTATCTAAAACTAAAATATACCGAAATATTGCAATAAAAATTCTTTAATTCTGAGACCAAAGATAGGTCTCAGATGGTTCGTTTTCAAAATAAATGCTCAAATTGGGTATTTGATAGTAGTTTGTCGCACTAAAATTTAATATGAAAAATTAAACTTATAATTAATACCTTCTAGCACCAACCAAATCATCGATTTGGGTATTGATGAGTTTTCGCTGTTTTAGAAGCCCAATTATCAAAACCTGTTCATTTATTGTAAATAGAGAGATTTAGAGAGTTTGTGGCGTTTCTAAAAACATACCATTTCAGAGAGATATGGGTGTTTTTAAAATCTATTTTCAAGAATGGAGAGTGAGATTCACTTCTCTTAGTAATAATATATTTATTTATTTTTTGTTGCCTCTATTCTATAGTGTCATTGGCAAAACCTTCAAATTAAACTCTGTTATAGAATTCCGCTGCTTTTAATAATTTAAACGTTTTTTAACTGATATTTCGCTGTCCTGTAGATTTTCTTTTAGGCTATGTGCCAAGTCCAATTTTTCCTAACAGTTTCAAATATAGAGAAGTCTTGTATAATGTGTTTTACTGTCCTTTGGACATTTCAGCTATCGCAGGTCGGAGGATCAAGTCCTCTTAGTAGGCAGGCGTGTGAGATCTCACAATGTTTAATACGTAATCTGCAGAGGGATGTCTCTTCTTTTATAGAGGATCGGTGGGAGGTTTCCCATTTCAAACAGTTATATTATAAAATAGTAGTAAAAAAGACGAACCAATGGGATTTATCAGATTATTGATTAAGTCTCTTGTATGATTTTTATGAAGATAAATCTTCTGGAGAGTAATGAAGTTTTGAAAAATAAGAAAATCGAATGTCATATTTTTTTTTTTTTTAAACCCATGTGAATGTTTTTTAATGAAATAGCTCAATTATACAATTACTTCTTATACAATCTTAATTTAGCTCGAACAACTTCCTTATGGAGAAAAAAGTTGAAATTAAATAATTTTATGGTGGTAAGATAAAAGATGTAAAGTGAGGTATTTTTAACATTTCTTCCATCAATCCAATTATAGGTTCAAAACTATCAGAAGATAAACGTCTTATGAAGGGTAAAAGTGATTTAATGCAGTTTTCTCAGAACAGAAATATATTTTACAAATCACTTTCATCCAATTTTTTCTTAAATTGTTTGAAGTGTATGCATCAATCATAAATATTCCTTGTCGTTATAGTTATCATTTGCTTGGAACTAAATTCATGCTTGTGTGAACATGTGGTTTACAACTTCCAAAGTTAAAAAGCCAAATTTTTTGAGAAAAAAAAAATTAGTCAAATAACATCGCCGAGTAATAGCGAACTCGGCCGAAAAAGAATATTGAACATATTCGATCGTTTATGAGATTAATGCTAATTAAAAATAGGCCAATGGATTTTTTGTAAGAGCAAACTAGCCTATAATTGTGATTATTGGTGATGATATAATTTACAGTGTGATCTTTTACATATTTGATCGTACAAGTGTATATTGAAATTTTAATTACAGCGCATAAAGAATTTACCAATTATTATTATTTATGATTAGAAGTATTATTAGAATAAAATATAAAAATCACCTTCATTCTGTGAATATGTCCCTTAAGAATAACAACAGAAACATGAGTGACCATCAATTCTGACCTTAAGACGGATTACATAAGTAGATATTAAAATAAGTACCAACATATATACATATTTGTTAAAAAACAAAACAAATATCCCTATGTTAAAAAACAAATAAGAAAAGGTGAAATAAAGTATTCCCTATTTAAATAGAATTATACAAAGAGAATTAAATTAATCATATAAACAAAAAAAAAAGAATTGCAAATTTTGTTATTTATAATATATAATAAATAAATAAACATATTAGTAAACTCTATCCAAAGTGATATGAAATATACTTTTGATATATTTCATTTGATATATTCCTTACAAAAAAAAATAGTTGGATATATTTCATTTGATATATTCCTTACAAAAAAAAAAAAATAATGCAATATTATTTTATAATACAATATTTACCAGCATCTGATTGGGAGGAAAAAAATGGAGAGTTTTAAATGTCGACATGGAGAGGACGTGGCGAATTTTATGAGGGAGATAATTCCAAAAAGTGGTGCCGTAGACAATGAAGAAGTTTTGGAATGAGGCAGATCTATGAAAAGAGGTATAGATGTCAAAAGAGGGTTGAGAACATGTGGAAAAGGAGTGCATAGAGGACTCGAACTGGAGAAAATTTAGCCATAGGATGGGGGATGGTTGTTGATTATTATGTGCCAAGGAAGTATTGTCTTCTGAAGGAGGGGAAGAACTACCTCAACTCAGCATAATAGTCGGTAACATGGGAACGAAACTTATTTATTTATTTATTTTTTACATGTGTATTAAATAATCCTTTTCAATTAATATATAACAAAAAAAAAAAAGGAATAAAGCCAATTCTTTCTTGATTTAACGAAGATGTTTTAATTTGGAATTTTGTTGCCTAGCGCGAACACCTTTCGGAATATTTCGCCTCACGTTTTTTATAAAACTTATCATTTTAACACCACGGCTTTTCGTTCTACAAAAAATTGTAGAATATAACTTTTTCTTTAAATTTATATAAAATGTATTAATTTATCTTTTATTAGTCAAAAAAAAAAAATATATATAAAGTGTTGAGGTCTTAGAAATAACGATTTGAAAGTTATTATTTCTTTAAATTAATAACCGGAAAGGAAAATTACTGTACAACAAATAGACAAAAATTTAATTTAATTAAACTATATATATATCAAATGAATTCACTAATAGAAGAATCAAAATACCAATTTCGTAGACCGACTTCTTTTGAAACGTGAGAGTTCACATTTGGTCTCTGATTCTTAGGTTGATGATAGCAATTGTCCACCTCTTCATTATATGATTTGCGCCGGTATTGGATTGTTTGCAAAACTTACCAGTGATTATTTTCTTAAATTAGATTTATGGTTAAGGTGTGAGGAGAAAATAATGAAGAAAGGTCCAAAATATAAATTAGTACATTTGGTTAACCTATTTTTCCAGAAAAAAAGAAAAGAAAACGATCAAAAGTCAAGCTACATTTTCCCATGGGATTTCAATATGAGATTATTCAAAAATACACAGCTGATAAAAATTTATAATTAAATGAAGTTGTGTCCTCTTGGCCGTAGTATGCACGGACCATTCGTTATTCGGTTTTATGAGGATTTGGAACATGTACAAGCCATATTGCCTACAACCTTCAACGGTATCAGCCTAGCGGACTCGCCGTTTTATCTTCCAAGACGCACATTCTCCATCTTGCTTAATACAGAAAGCAGTAAACGCTACTAATTCATACAGCCATAAGGCAGGTGTTGGGTGTCTAGTTAGGAGGAGGACACAAGGGCTTTCATATATGGCTTTGGAAGAGATAAAGGTAACAACTCCTAGAAGACCTCCCTCGTCGACTCTCTACAAGATCGTATACTCCACTTCCTTCATCGCAGGATCTTCCTTGTTAATGAAGGAGATGGCGCCAGGGTTTTGCAACCGGGTATCCCTTGCACTCCGACCGGTGAGATATTGCACAAGCTGATGGTCACGTAGCTCCGGGTTGACGGGAGGATGAGTTGTTTGCCCGCCACTTAGAGGGGAATTTACTCAACCATTTGCACTCTCTTCTGGGTGCGGTCTTCGCTACGGGATGGAACGCGTCGTCAGTCCGGGCGTATGCGACGGCACGATCAGAAGGAGCAGGCTATAACACCAACGGCAAACAGTCTACAGCAAACTCGGCCTCTGACAGCCAGTAGATTAGTATTCCTAGAGAAACATTAAAATATGAATGCAAAATAGTAGAAACTGTAAAACAGAACCACGAACAACAGGATATTAAAATTTTAGGAAACTGTTTTATCACGTTAAATTATATGAAATCAAATCGGCGTCATAATATAGGCAGGCTCTAAGAGAGGGGATGATCACCCTCCAATAAAATTAGATACAGACCGAGAAGTACAAAAATTAAATCAAAATCAATAAAAATTAGTCTACTTGATATTTTTTTAATCTGAATGAATAAAATGTGTAAAATAAAATCAATTAAAAAAATTGGAAGAGTAGACTAGATGCCTATGATGAGGCGTAGTAGTAAGTATGAAAATATTTTACAGCGCACTATGTTCCTATTATTGAAATATTAGCTTCTATTAAAGGATAATTATATTTAGCAACATATCCTAGGATTTGATGATTCATTCACGTTCATCCTTCCATTTTTTTATAAAGATTTTATCACATATCCCGAGGCAAATTTGAAGCATTGGAAAATTGAGAGTTCATCTCATTGCCATTAAATAAACCTTTAAATAAAAATAAATGTTAAATAAACCTTTAACATGTAATATATTAAATTTCTTTTTTATTATATGATAACAATTTTCGATATACTCAGATGCAAAGAAAAGAAAACTAATTCATTAATTTATTTGGATATTTAGTATAATATCCAATATTATACTAGTATAATATTGATATTATACAAAATTGATATTATACCGATATTTAGCATAATATACTTTGACGATAAGTATGTTGATTAGATTAATAACTCTGTTTTATTTATTTATTTCCCTGCATTCGCTAAGATCATTGGTAATCCTCTTCTCACATATTCTCTTTTATAATTTATTATTAAAACACTTTATTCAGAAATATTACAATTTGTCACAGTTTAAGGACACTTATAATAGAGTTCAGAGATTGCATTCATACCGTATATACAAAAATATAAATAAATAAAGTAATAACAAAAAAATAAGAAAAAAGAACAAAAGAGTAAAGAAAAAAAAAATATATATATACACATAAGTAAATAAAAATAGAAATAAAAGTAAAACAAACACCTTATATAAAACATATCTATATACATTATTTACAATTTGCCAGGTGATCTCCGAACCAATCCTGTCCCCTCCACATGTGGAGGGAAAAGTGAGGCTTAGGAGATCCCTACGCTTCTCCCTCAGCCACTTCACTGGTATTTTAAACCAGCGGCTTTTATAATTAATAATATATAATATATATATTTATATATAATATATAAGATAATTAATAATATTTTTTATACATAATTATAAACTCCCCAAAGTTTTTCTTTAAGGTACATCGTTCTTCTTAAGTTCTACTCCATTGCAAAAATGTTATTTTTAAATTGACCGAAAGGTTTTGTAAACTAGATTTAAATATTTGAAATTTTAAAGCTTATCTCTATGGTTTAAAAATAACAAAAAAACTTTTGTAAGTACTTTAATATAAAGCTGTGAAATGTATTAATTGTTCACTTTGGCAATCAAATCATATAGTATAGTTTATTATTGGCTCTTATCTCTTAGTGGTCACTATTATGTTTATTCGTGTCGTTTGTTTTTATTTGGACTAATTTTTACTTTTCTACCTACAATACACCGGTTTATAAATCTATGTTTTATCTTTTTCTTCAAATACAATTACTATCGATATTTTCAATTTCTAGATTAACGCTTGATTACCTAGGACATCCCACTGTGCGGAGTAATATCATGTCACTCAGTTAGTTAAACGTTCAGTGTAAAAATAGCCAAGTGTAGTTATGAGTGCGCAGGATCATGTTTTTCTTCTTTTATTCTATTTTTACGAAATCCCATTCTGTCGCAGCATTTTCCTTGTTTCTTATTATCTCATCATATTTCTACTTCAAAGATTAGTGGGACATGCCTCATTTCTCTTCTAAGAAATTTTATTGTTTTCCTCTTTTAAAATCAGTCCACACGACAGTAGAATTAGAAAATATGGAGTTGATATGCAATCGCATATCAATAATTTCATCAATCGCATGAAATTATTTAGTCTGCTCCATGTTATCGGCTGTTCTCTGGTTTGAATTTTCCTTCAAATTTTAACCCCAAAATAATAATGTTCCTTCTAATAATTCATAATTATGTCAGACTTTGTACCCATCAAAAATTCAAAACCACATAAAAATGTCCCCTCACCCTCAAAACTTCAAAGCCTCATAAAAATATACCCCCCTCAAAAATTCTAAATTCCATAAAAATGTGCTCCTTTAAAAATTTAAAACCCCATAAAAACACGTCTCTCAAAAATCCTTGGGCACCATATCCTGCCATCCCCTTTTGGACACCTTTGGCTTTAAAGAACTTATCATTTGATGATATGACATTTATGTGAATCAGCTAAAAAATTCGAATTCTGTTATCAGAACATAATAGACATACGATATAATCTTGATATAGCCAAATTACAGACTGCACATTACAGATTCATACATCTGTGTGAAGAAAAACATTAAACATTAAAAAAAAAAGTTTATATATGAACTAAATGAGAAAAATGAAGTATTTTGGATTCAGTACTTAAAAAGAATTAGTTGCTTCATAAACAACATCAATACAAGAAGTTAATATGACTAACATATCTAATATAATTTATCATTTAAAAACGCTTTTAAATGCATGCTGCAAGATCGACAGAACTGCTGAGCACCAGAGTGTATTGAAGCATTATGGGAACGATAGTAATAAAAAAATGGAAAAAATAAAAATATGAATATTTCTATAATATACAGAATCAATGAAGTGTAATTATGGATGATTAATTACCCTTGTTTGCTTATTATGAGAAGAGATTATTCATAATTAATAAATAGTTTTATAGATCTACTGCAGGATACCAGGATTTAATCAGTGTCCTTAAATTGGAAATGGATCATTATGGCGAACAAATAAAAAGATATTTTAATATTTAATTATAAAACCGATCAACCCTGAGGGAAGCAAGATAGTGCTTGATGCTCCAAGGCACGTAATGAAGCGTCTAGGGATAAACATGGCTGTTCCTTCTTTTATTTATTTATTTTTTGTGTCTGTTTATTAATAAAATCGAAAGAATTGATTTTTGTGAATCGGGGATGATATTTAAAAATTTCTTGGGAAGCCAGTTTGAAATTAAAATTATGTGCTGAACTGTTTGGCTTCGATGCAAATAATATTGAAGCGTCACTATCAGTCAAGAAAGTTAGGCAGTCCCTTGTCGTTTAAAGATTGGAGCAAATGTAAGTGGCAGGGAATAGGTGTGCCCCATTCTAAGTCATACCAATGGACTAACAAGTTTATGTATGATAGGAAAATTCTTACGGAATGGACAGATGTTTGCAACTTAATGTCAACTATGCTCCTCTTCGTGGAGTTCCAGGGACCGGAGGCCAGTCGAATGGAAATGTTGGATCCATCGACCGCAAATGTGACCGAGTCAGAAACCCCAGCTCACGTTTTAAGCAAAAGTCTGAATAACATGCTCCTCGTCACCCACAGGTACAATAATATAAAGCATTTATCGACATTCAAATTCCTGAAGACAAACAATTATAGATGCTTCTTTGAAGTTTATTTCTTGGATCCGGAAAGGTCAGCGAGATTTGTAGATATCTTAGCCTTTAAAGCAAAAGGATCCAATAGTTGATTCTACTATTAGATATGATACGAACGATGAGGATGAGGGTATCAAATAAAAATAGAGAAGGAGAAAATATATAAAAAATGCATTCCGTACCTAAAGAAGAAATATAAAGAGGAATTTGGTGAAATATTGATATAGAGTACGGCGTAGTCCATTATTTTGGACTCACTGGGAATTCTACTCCATCACCTATTAATTCTGGTCTTTGCTTAATGGATCAGTGAACAGAATTGAGAAGAATGAGATTAGTATAAAAAAGAAAACAATAACAAATGGCATTTTTGTATACAAAGCACCTGGTGTTTATGATAACAACCCCGTAAAATTTTGACTACATATTATGCTGTGTCAGTTGGCAACTCAACATGGCAATTTTTTTGTACAAATAAATATTGCTTGAGCAAATGCTTAACTTTCTACGGCCAGCCTTTGTCCAACATGAACAAGGATGGATTTGAAAATGCAATATTTTTTTTTTTTGCTTTCTTTAAGGACTAATTAAACATCTTATCATTTAAGAGAGGTATTTTTTTTTTCTTTTTCCTCCGCAATGATCAATGTTGAAAGAAAAAAAGTTCCCTGCACAAAAATAAATTCTGGATCCGCTTCTGCTGAAGATCAATTAGTAGAGGTTGATTGAGGGTATAATAAAAGAAAAAGTATGCAAAAAACAAATTTATTTTTATTGTACCCACCTTTCCACACAAGTTTAAAGCCTTTATTAGGGCTAAGCAAAGTCAAAATAATTACAAGAAATTAAGAGGATAAAATGGTATGTAAAATGATAATGAAGCATTTAAATACTTTAATTTATCTTACACGATGTAATTTTCACTCACGTTTCGTTATTTATTAGTCATTAAAAAGCATTTTACATACCATTTTATCTTCTTATTTTAGTGTTATGTTTTCTTTCTCTTTATTGCTGCTTGTTACTATCTTCTCTTTTCTCAGCCAAGATGGAGGCTTGAAACCTGGGCCAAAACGTCGGCACAATTTTTTTTTATTAAGTTCAATTTTTGACTGCACCCCCAATCAACTTCTACTACTAAATACGATTAATCTGTGGACCGGACACCC